GATTGGAATGCATACTGACCTTTTCTAATCCTGTGGCCACTGTTGTTTTTTCAAAATTTGCTGTGAATTTGAGTGCAGCACTTTAACAGCATCATCTTTTAAGACTTTGAATAGCTCAGCTGGGATACCATCACCTCCACTAGCTTTGTTGTTAGTAGTGCTTTCTAAGGCCCATTTAACTTTACATTCCAGGATGTCTGGGTCGAGGTCAGTGATTATACCGTCGTGGTGGTCAAGGACTTTGAGGTCTTTCTTGTATAGTTATTCTGTGTATTCTTGCCATCTTTTCCTAATCTCTTCTGCTTCTGTTAGGTCCCTACTGTTTTTGTCCTTTATCATGGCCATCTTTGCATGGAACGCTCCCTTGATTTCTCCAATTTTCTTGAAGAAATCTCTAGTCCTTCCCATTCTATTGTGTTCCTCTATTACTTTGCATTGTTCATTCAGGAAGGCCTCCTTATCTCTCCTTGCTGTTCTCTGGAAATCTGCATTCAGTTGGGTAAATCTTTCCTTTTCACTTTTGCCTTTCGCTTTCCTTCTTTCCTCTGCTATTTGTAAAGCCTCATCAGACAGCCACTTTGCTTTCTTGCATTTCTTTTTCTTTGGGATGGTGGTGATTGCTGCCTCCTGTACAATGTCACGAACCTCCGTCCATAGTTCTTCAGGCACTCTATATATCAGATCTAGACCCTTGAATCTATTCTTCACCTCTACTGTATATTCATCAGGGATGCGATCTAGGTCAAACCTGAATGGCCTAGTGGTTTTCCCAATTTTCTTCAGCTTGTCTGAATTTTGCAATGAGTAGCTCATGATCTGAGCCACAGTCAGCTCCAGGTCTTGTTTTTACTGACTGGATAGAGCTTCTCCATCTTTGACTGCAAATTATATAGTCAATCTGATTTCGGTGTTGCCCATCTGGTGATGTCCATGCGTAGAGTCACCTCTTAGGTTGTTGAAAGAGGGTGTTCGCTATGACCAGTGTGTTCTCTTGACAAAACTCTGTTAACCTTTGCCCTGCTTCATTTTGCTTTCCAAGGCCAAACTTGTCCGTTATTTCGATTACCTTTTGACTTCCTACTTTAGCATTCCAGTCCCCTATGATGAGGAGGACATCATTTTTTCATGTTAGTTCTATGAGATGCAGCCTCTTCTGCATCAGTGGTTGGGACACAAACTTGGATTACTGTGATGTTGAATGGTTTGCCTTGGAATCGGATCGAAATCTATTTGGATGGTGTGGCTTTTAATGGAGAGACCTTTTGGGATGCAGTATATTTAATGCTGCTGAGCCTGGCAACCAGCAGTAGGATTGAGGGGCAGGGATATGTGAGTGGCATATGATATCAGCAACATTGGTGACATCATTATGTCACTTCTAGGAACAAGCCAAAAGTGACAATGGGCAGCTCTAGGAATCGCTGGAAACTCTCTGTTAAACAATAGAGTCTTTGGTGATTCCTAGAGCTACCCTTTGTTCCCTCTGTGTTGCACCTGGAAGTGACATACTGATTCAGAGGCCAGCAGCGATTTTTGCTTTATTTTTCTCCTGTGGCAGGCAACAAAGGCAAGCAGCAGGAGATTTAAAAACTCCAAATGTATGTCCACGTTTACCTGTTCTGCCCACTACCAGACTCTTGTAGTCTGCCAGCCACCAAACTATCCCCACTCAACTGTACAGCTTACTCCCCACACCACATTCTACCATAAAATAATTAAGAACAAATGTAGACATATCAAAATTGAATTGAATTCCGGTTTCCTACCTAATAATCCCTCACAATTTTACCCTAATAAGCCTGAGCATCTGAATGCCTCCCATCCATGTTCAAAATCTGCATTACAATTTTGACATTTTCAAAATCTAAAAATGTTTGCTTTACAATTCCTATTTTAGCTTATTAGGGGTCAAATAGCACCTATAGAAGCTCTTATATTGTGATTCTCTTAATGATCAACACTTCGTAAAATCAATGCTGTATACATTCTACCGTGATCCCTTTGGGATCTCCTGAACAATATTTCTGGATCACGGATTCTTATACAAATCCTTCACATAACTTAAAAACCTGTTGCAGATTTATGCAGATCCAATTAAGAAGCACTTTCCTTCTGGCCTGAGCTCATTGCAAGTTATTTTTCTTAAATGCCGTATCGGGGGTGGGTGGGTGAAAACAGGTAGATTGGTCCAATTCTGTTTCTGTACAATTTTCTCCTGTAAAATTATATATCCACTAACCACTAGATCCTGAAATCTAAACATATTTTGACTCTCCCATTGTGAAAAATCTCCCCAATGGCCATCTCTGTTAAATTTAACATTTCTAACCACCATGGGAGCTATACTTGGACTAATTTGACTCTTATATTTATCCCATGTAATTAACAGTTGCATGGGGATTAATTTCTTATTTAAATGAGCACTCCAGACTTCCTGATTCATCCACATTAAGGTCTGCAACAGAGCCAATACATGTTTGTGTTGCGGCTGAATGTGTCCCGTTAATTTAAAGATAACCCATACCTTTAACCAATGGAACTGTGCATCTCTGTGATACCATCCCAAG